TTTTGCTTGAGAAAAATAGTTCTTGTTTTTATTTTAATAAATTACTTTACTATTAACCTATATTCAAAGGGTTTCTGATATATGTTTATATAAACTAATAGGGAAACTCCACATTTAGGAAGGTTTTTCTGCGAGGGATTATCGTTATAAGCTAACGTGGACCTCCAGAAGTATGCGCACCAAGATGGCGCACATCCTGAAATTGGTATGTGTGTACCGGTTAGGATTCAGGTTGTGCGACATGTTGGTGCGCATATTTCTGAGGCACCGCTAACGTTGTTCTTGGCACTATCGTGTCAGTTAGTTCTTTGAATTTCACTTTACTTATTGGACACGAAATGGACTTATGGATCACTCTGTATTTATATTCTTCTTGTTGTGAAAAAATAGCCTTTCTTTTTAACTACAGGATCAATCGCTATAAAATTTTCTGTGGCTTAAGATTGTTCAAAAATTTATGTGGGCCCTATGGAATTCATATTTTGCTTTGAATTTCTGTGTGATGACGTCATCAAAATTATAAAATTTTCATCATGTCTTTGTTCCATGACCGCATTTCAGCGATCTTGCCAGACTATCAGTACTGTAAGAGATCACACAAGATTGCGATAGGCATCGTTTAGTTGTAATAAATCAGTAAGCATTTTGTGTTGCAAATTTGAATGTTGTCCGAATAGCTCTATGTTATGTTCTCTATTGTATTTTAGGTCCGAAAACTATGGGTATGTATATGTAGCAGGAATTTTGGATTGCATGAAATATTGAATTTATTTCGCACTGTGCTAGGTTCTGTGCAAGAATCTACCGATACCAAATGATATATGAAAAGCTGCCATTTCGCGCAAATTGTGTTTTAGTAAATACTAATTGGTGAGAAATTTTTAGCATTTCATGTCAATATAATATCATATAGAAGACAAACCTAACCTTTGACCTGAGACTCTGACACCAAGGACTTATGACAACAATATGAAAAGCCATGGCTCCTCCCTAATTCATGACCTGGGGGTTCGCACATAAAGTTTGAGAACCACTGTCTTTGATAGATGTGTAATTTCAAGATGAATGTGCTGTTTCTGTGCGATGTCTCAAACCTGATGCATCTACAGCTCATTATTGATAGCAATCTTTGGCAGAATTTTTTTTTTTATATTTTCAACGCTTACCGACTAGTCGATATATTATCTCTAATTTTTGTCTTTCGATTGGGACTTTTGAGTATGACATTGTGGAGAAAAAACACCTATTAAAAATGGTTATTTTCATGAAAACCCGCTTTCCCGATCCGTCTTATTGTTTGTCCTGTATAAAGTGAATAATAACTCATGATAAAAATTCCTTTTTGAAATTCTCATTGATTTCTGTATTTAAATGCATTAACTTTTGCTTGATATGTTATTTCAAATATTGTGAAAGTGAAATATTTCATTAAAGAGCTTATAGCTTTATGATGTTATGTTCTTCTTTAATTCCAGTGGATGGGCTTTGCTCATGTTGATAATACGCGATACAGATTACAGATACCGAAACATACAACGCGTAGCATTCACTAGTCTTTCCCCGCTGACACGTCCGCACCCGACGATGGTCAGACAGTCGTTTCCAGTTCAAGTAGTATTCCACGTTCAATCACATCTGCTCTATTCTGCATTTGAATTATACAATTCCCATACCTGACATGGATTGGTAACAGAGCGTAGAAAAGATGGGACCATTGCACCTGTTGGAATGGCTGAATGGTGGTCGTTCGTGGAAATTCGATATTAATGTTGGAAGCATTGTAACGGATACAATGATTTTGAACTGAACTAACCGGAAACGACAAAAGAACCCAACACCCCAATCCATGATTTGTGCATAGACTGCTATGGAACATCCAATCCATTTACCAAGCTTGTTTTTTAGTAAAAAAAAATTGTCACTGTGTTACTTCTGCAACGTAATTGAACAAGGCATCACCATTTTTCGGCAGCGAGTGTTCGTCAATCAATATATCTGTAGGGAAAGCACATACACGTCTCACATTTTAATTTATAAGATATTGCCCGATGTCACATCGTGTTTTTGTTTTATTGTGTTTTGACTGTTTTTGGGGGACGGGCACGTACTTGTAAGTATTTAACTTTATTATTAAGTTATGCCCGTCCTCCAGGTCCTCTGTATTTTGTTTGCCCTTTGTTGTTGTTTTGTTTGTATCAGATTCAGAGTGACCAAATAAAATTGATTGGTTGACTATCACGGGCTGAAACTGATGGAAAAGTTCAAAGGTCAGGGATCAGAATTTCTCTTGCTGCTTCAATAATTTAAGCAGCATAGAAGAACCTGTAACCGAACAGCGGTTACACTAACCACTCTACAGTATAATCACGTTCCATTCAACAATTCCCAGATTATGTGGTTGTGATTACAACAAGTTCATACTTATCGCGCTGGCTTCAGTAAGCAAAAGTTATCTAGGTATACACTAGGTGGCAATAGAGAACAAAAAAATCGCTAACACGACCTTTAAACTATTTGCCAATGACTACAAGAACATTCTTCATAATTGTACCGTATACAGGGGATTTTTTGTGCAGTACATTACAAAATGTAATGTTGACCATTAACAAGTGTTAATGTTGATAAACAAGTCGATAGTAAAGACGACTCTAGAACATTCAGCCACGTGGAGGCAACATGCAGCGTATCCATGACGACTAAATGTTGACTTCCGGCATATAGCGGATTCTGTTTTCAAATTTAATTGCTGGTATTATATTGTTATCGTCCCCATTTTCTGATCTGTGTTTTTTGTTTATAGTTACCTTAGGTTAGGCTAGTGCAAAGTGACTCCACTTTGGGCTAGTGCAGTTTCAAGTATTTTGTGGCATCTAGAGCTGCCGCAAAACCATGGCGGAATTTCCAAACCATGATCGCATTGACCAAACCCATGACGACTGACTTTTTAGCTACCACAAACCAATAGCTGACTTTGTAAATATACCGGTAATAGTGCGATAAAAACATGGCAAGAGACACCGCAATACGTTTGTGGCAGGAACTGCCATGAAGTGGTAAGAACTGCGACTCCCCGTACCAGTACTAGAATTGTTGAGATACTTAGGATAGGTTAGGCATTTACATATTTATGCCAGGGGAGAAGAAAGCCATATACTGCTTGTGAGATTAAGGGTTTTGATTCAAAAAAGGCAAGTTCCTAAAAATTGGCACGCTTACTTTTTCTGTTCTGTGTGCTTTCCCTGATTAATATGACTATCAATATAGAATGTTATGCATATTTCTTTATTTAAACCAGAAAACAGTCAAGAACAGTATCATTTTCCAGTAAGATATGACTTTGTTGTGACCCTGCAGGTGGTCACGAAACGCACAAAAATCCATGGGCCGCAAAGATCTTCTCCAATATTTTGAGCCTGGGACCAAGTTACCGATGACTTTTTCATTGTAATGTAAAAGCATTTAGTTTGAGGCGTCGATCAACTGCAAAGGCATCAATATGATAAACCCGATGAAAAAAAACTTGATTAAAAGGGTGATTCTCTTTTACAGTCCAGATTTAAATAAGAATCACTGTCACAATTTTAGATATATTTGATAACGAATACCCATCGCTAAGTAATAGTGCTATCAAACTGTTGTCTGTATTTTCAACCAGTTACCTATGCGTTATTGGAAAGAATCGGCTGTACACTGCTCCAGAGCTACATGTTGCAGAAACTTCTTTGAGGCCTCGTTTGCAATCCTATATTTAAAACGAAACAGCAGCAGAACTCTCACTAGACCTAATTGTGTTTGTACATGATTTGACATGTACATGTTTTTTATGTGAAATGTTTTGTATGGACATGTTTTATATGTGCCTTTCTTACGCATAGTGGGTGCCCAGCACTGCATTTCATTATGTAAATATATGGTATTATTTTATGTTTCACCTATTACAATTTTTGGCCAGCACATTATTTTATAATTTTTCTTCATGTGAAATGTTTTTAAGTTTACCCTTTTTTGTCTAGATTTCTGGAAGCATGTTGAGGGCCCAGCATTGCATTATTTAGCGCAAATATATGGTATAATTTTCTGTTCTGTTCCCTTCATTTTTTTGCCGGTCCGCGAGTATTCAGATGGTTCGACAAATCTTTCCAAGTTATTTTCTACAAAAATGGGTGATTCGGAATGAACGCAGAACATTCCTGGGCTGACGCTCCGATCATGAGCCACCTTACAGAAGAAGTCTTGTACGATGAGTTAGCGGACTTCGGATATAATGATGACGATACCTGCGTCGGAGAATTAACAACGACCCTCCTTCCTCCTCAGCGATTAAAATGGAACATTCCAGAACCTATAAATGTTGCTTTCGGAATAAAAATATTTTGTGTTCGGGAACACTAATTTAATGCAGAGTGGAATCTCTCATCCTGACCTAACCTACTGTTCAACTGTGTATTGTGTATGGGAACACTAGATTATTAAAGAGTGGAATCACTTGAGCTATTTGATCAGAAATATATAATGTAATTGGGACTGTTTTAATCCAAGGCAGAATCTCGCTCCCATATTAACTATTTGACTAAAAATGTTTTGTTCTGCTTTTGGAAGCCATGATTTCATAATCTCATTTGTCGCTATTCAGTGGTTCCCAACCTTTTACGACTTGTGGTCCCCTTCCAGAGGCTTTCGGCACTCACGAGCGCCCCTGTTTATCATTCCAGTTGTATTTATAGTGTTATTTTGATTGGTAGATTCCAAATCCCAATATGATCAAACAATTCATGCTCAACAAAGTGAAAAAACTCTGTGGAATAACCTTATCGAGCAATGAAATTGGGAAGAATATTTTTTTTATGTAATCTTTTTTGCACATAGCATTGTGGCCCCCTGAAACTGCTCTGTGGCCTCCAGTTGGGAACTGCTGTGCTATATATTATCATTTTTTGCTTGGTAGCTCTGATTTTATACAGAGTTGAATCAGTATCCTAACAATTAATTTTCCTTTATACAGTGCATCGACATCATTTAATCAAGTCTAAAGATTGCAAAGCTTTTGTCTGATGACGTAGACCTCCACGTGTTTCTATTTCGTAAATTCGGAAAAGGATTGATCAAAACTTTCCGAATGTTTTCTGATGCTTTTATCAAATTGTCTCTTCAACTTGCACATTTCAGGGTAAGAGAAATGAAAAATATCATTTATTTAAAATTTTAGTGGGGCACTTGGAATTTTGAGTTCTTGCATAGTTTCTTGTCATCCCCTTGATAAAGAATGCGGATATCGCTTAGCCTTACAGTTATAAAGGCACCGGGCAAAAGATTCAACAGAGTAACAAGAGTAAAAAAACTATGAATTTTTACCCATGTGAGCGCCCTTTCAAACACAAGTTGTCATATAAACTCATGGAAACCCGTGTCTTAAGGCCGGCCAGAGCTGCTAGCTGATACGGTCTATCTTGGCAATTAGAAATTTCAGAAACCCGCTTTCAAAATTCCTGGCTACATCCTTGGCTTTGGTCATTGACTTGAGTATCCATTCATCAATGACTCGCCATCAACTAACTTGCTAATTCTGACTTGACTGTGGACTCGGATGACTAATGAGTCGTATTGGGGATTTTTGCCTAAGAACTGTGATTCCCAACGTATACTCGGTTTTGCGCTTGGTATTGTGCCCTCCCTCCAATCGCTCTTTGGCCCTCATGAGGGCACTGGTTGGGAAATGTGGCCCAAGAGACATAGACGTAACATGCCAACCGCACTAAAAGGAATGAAATATATTCATAACATTAGCATAAAACAGATCGCCTGCACAACTTATTGCACCCTGTATAAGGTGCTACGTAATGGTTTTGAAGCAAGGGTGCGGTCAGGGAGGGGGGTTTGAGAGTCGCAACCCTCTTTTTTGAAATGTAGAACAAAGCATTTCTCTGTATCATACATAAGTTGCCATACAAACTGCTTTCTCATATTACTTCCCTTAAAATAAAAATCATTTTATGACAGGACAAAGGTCATTTCAGTTTGACTTACGAAGCCTCGATGACGAGATTGTTCCGAGACGGGGGGACCGAGACTGTTCGTTCATGCACGACTGAATCCTGCGCTTGTGTTCGGGCCATGAAAGATCCAGAACAAACTGTAAGTTCATTATTTTACTAATCAAGTTTTGCCCATTAGAGCGCGACTAGTCAGAATAATGTACTTGTATTAAACGAGAATCGATGCTGTTATTTCTTGGCTCAATTGAGATGAAATAGTACGAACTATTTGTGTTGTAATTTAAGATACCAGAGACTTTCAAGTTATGTAACTGTTAACAAAACGTTGTTTTCTCGCTCGCTTGATTCGACAATGTGCTTTTCACATCTCTTCCGCACGCGCAGCCTTGCGTTTCAATATAGTGTCGACAAAGTTTTGTTAACGTCCCAACACACTCTCTTAAATTTTTTTTTATAGATTAGGCATCTTTGCTATTCTGTTCATCCTTCTTTTATTTGAACGAGTGTTCCCACTTTTCAAATCTTTCTTTAACGTTTTGAATCAGTTTTCACTATTTCTAATAAATTTTCCCTTTTCAGAATGAAGACAGATTTGCTCTTTTGAAGAAAGCTACAGAACGCCATGTATCAGGATATAAAGAGGCCATGACTGCTAGGTTATTGTGTTATTTAAAAACATTTTCTTACCCTCAATTCGAACTTAGTACCTACAACCCGCTGGCTATATGAGGCAGGGGCATAGGGTTTTCAGGGTCGAAACGCCCCCTTTTAAAATGTAAAAAAACATTTTTGTGTAACATACATAGCAATTTTTCGCAGCTTGAAACGCTTTTTAGACCATCAAGATAATTGAAAACATACTTTCACCGGCATCTGGTAGAAAATGATAGCTGTTTCTGTCTAGCTTGGCTATTAAAAACTTCAAAACCCCCCTCCTTTAAGCAATCCTGGCCACTCTTCTGTAGACAAAGCTTGGTTCTGGGATACCAGGCAACGTGGTGATAAATTTTGATCACTTTTTCTGCGAAAACAACTTTTATTTTGGTAGAAATTGTGGCGAGGTGGTTGGGAAATTCCACTCAAAAGACAGTTCTAAACTATTTTTTCTCCCCATTGGCCAAAGCAAGGTATTTGAAAGGGTACTAATAGAAAAGTTGCAAGCTAGTATCAAGCGAAAGAATGTTTTATTCAAAAACACGATGAAAATATGTGGATGGAACATTGATTTCAAAACTAAATAAATGTAAATATCTAAAATAAGGCGGGCAAGATCAAATCTAACAAATATTTTCATTTTGAATTAACTTCACGCCCCCTCAAAAAATTGTTTACGCCCCCCTTGTGGGGCAGCCCTCTGTTGGACTATTACACTGAGCTATGCTTGAAACATTCCAAGTCAATAGGGGGGAGGGGGAATTCCAACAAGGCCCCAATTCTAAACCGATCTTTTTTTCCTCCCATAGGTCAAGGAATTGATCGTCATTTATTCTGTCTCTACGTCGTGTCAAAATATCTCAAGATCGAGTCTCCCTTCTTGCAAAAGATTAGAATATCATTTTCTTTTTTTTTCGTTTTTTTTTTTTAATTTTTTTTCGATTTATTACTTTCTCTTATTGTTTATATATTTCTACTCACTTTTTATTTCGCTAACCACATGTGATGTTTTGTGTCTTCGCTCTGGTTCTGGAAGGTTCTGATTCGCAGTTGGCATTAATTCCCCCCCCCCCCTCTTCTACAATTTCAAACACCCCCCTCATTTTGAAGTAAGATACCGCACTTTAATACCTAACTTAAGTATAATTGTATTTGAATATCCAGAAGATAGAATATTTATCAGTGCAGATGGTCTGTCATATACTTAACACATTTTTATAAGTTACGAATAGTTTTATCGCTAATAGGAAAATATTTACCAACCTTCTAAATTCCCCCCCCTCTAAAATGAAATGCTGAGGTACATACTGGCCGTAGGTTTCCATATCACCACTATGTGAGAACCTCCTGTTCTAGAAGTGACAGAATCTTTCCAGTTTAGCCGATGATCCAATTTATTACACACTGGGTAAGTTGGGGTGACATGATGTTTGAACTCAAACTATCGTCTAGGTCCAACCCCTTAAACATTAGAATTAAAGACTAAAGTAAAAGCACAAATAAAGTTGGATTTCCAGATCTATTTGTCTTCATTGCTTTTCAAAACACTTGCCCCGCTTCCATCATTGCCTACCCAGGTGGGTGGGTGCATTCTCGTAACTCCTACCCCGCTTTCGTCTTTGCCTACCCAAATTTATTGCACCCCTAGGTGAGCTGGTGAGCAGAGTTTTTTATTCAGCCAACATAGTCTCACACCATAAACATTAGCATAAAAGTAAAAACTAAAAGCATAAGTTGTTTTCAAAGCATTTCTCACAACGATAATTTTTCTTTTCGGTGTTCCTTATCATGCTGGTGCAAGCTATCGCTGAAACGTAATTTCCTTTCTCGCTGTTGCAACTTAGTGCATGTTTAATTCGAAATTCACGAAATTTTGTCCCTAAAAATTTGTCAAATTGGCTGTTATGGAATTAATTTCATCTGGTCACATTGACATTTCAAACCCCGCATTATTTACTCATTCGACCATGACTTCCATTAGATTTCTCAATCATGTGACTCTCTAGTCATTATCGTTAATCAAATATTTTTCTCATTTTAACCCTGCATTTTCGGTCATCATTCATCCAACCATGACTGCCATTCATTTTTCAATCATGCGGTGTTCTATTGCATATTCATATTCATCAATTTTTTGTTCAATTTAACCCTACATTTTCGTTCATCAGACCATGATGCTCCAGCCAACATTCCTAATCTCAAATTATTTGTTCATTTGGCCCTGCATTTTTATTCCTCTGACCATAACTATGATTAAGTGTTTCACAAATGTAAGTTCATTATATAAAAAATCATAAAGAATGTTATTATCATTTTAACCCAGCATTTTCAATCATTCAACTGTGACTGTCTTTATTTGTACCCTTCATTTTTAGTTATTAACGCATGGCTGTCTATTGTCATCAAATTCTTCATTATGTCAAAAAAAAAAATATTTTCAAAAAAGTTTTTTTTAAGTCCCGAATTACAATCATGAAAATATTTATTTATTTGTTTGCCACAATGTACGATAATTTCAAAATCATTATATATTTTGAAATTTTGAAATTTTCTTTGTATCTAACTGAACTAAAAAAAAATTGTCTTGATTTGTATATCCAGCAAACATTCGTCCCCTCTGTGACAGCAGCAACTTGTGAATGCGCAAATAGTTCCGCATTAATTTTAGTTCTTTTCAACCCTGCATTTTTACTTATTAGACTGTGACTCTTTAGTTGAACTCTCAGTAACATATCACCCTGTGACTTTACAAATCCATGCGATCCCCTGAATGAATAGATAGATCCACATCAATTTTGGTTAATTTCAACCCTGAATTTTTATTTATTAGACCGCGACTCTTTAGTTGAACACTCTGTGACAAAGCAGTTACAAATCCTTGCGACCCCCGAATGTGCACATAGTATCACGTTAATTTTGCTTCATTTAAACCCTTTTTTTACTTATTGGACCAAAACTTTTTTTTTAGTTGAATCTGATAATGAAAAATTAACAGTCTTTTTTAATTCTATTTTCATTTCAACCCTGCGTTTTTAGTCATTAAACCATGACCCACATGGCAAGTCATTGGACCTTTCAAATACACCCATAGGTTGTGACTCATCAGCCTTTCAAAAAACATAGTTCAAAAATTGAAGGAGGGAGGGGGAATCCCATTTTTTGGATGTAGTCATTACACGCATATCACATTTTTTTCATATTAAAAAGAAAACCTTTTTCATCTTTGAGTTTCTCTACTCTAAAAAATAACTATTATCATGCTGTGTGTCTTTCTTTTCACTGTTTTCATTAATCTTCAATCAGTTTCCATGTTTCCTGTCGCAATAACACCCAACTTAAGTAAGTCTCCTCTCATGAGACAGTAAGTATTCTTTTTATAATATTTCATGTGACCTGCATTTGCAGCTATTGCTATGTAATAGATTTGCATATTTATCCCGAGGAGGGGAAAGGCGATAACACAGCCTGATTCTACAGCAAACCACGGCCTGTCGTCCGGTTACCAGTCCATATTGGGTATGGGATTAGTTAGCTAGTTTGCCCACCTTAGCCGGTGGGCCATGTAAGTGTGACTAAAAAGTTACATTTTATGAACAATATTTACAGTGTTGCAAACGCAAAGGTGGAAAACAATAAGCCTCGTGCCAAAACTACGTTTTATCGCGAGCTCAAAAAATTCCTTGAATTATTTTAAACTTAAACATCAAAATTTGGTTTTAGTTTGGTTGTGGCAGCATCGGGCTAGCTTGTCTTATTAGATTACCATATTCATTTTTTATCATCATCTTATCTTAACTGTCTTTTTTTTTATCTAGGTTACTCTCTGATTACACTCTTTTGAATGTATTTATATGTCCATGTTATTATCTCCTTATCTATTTATCTTATCAGAACTCATCTCGATTTGCTGATAACATCGAAAAAGCAATGATGGATGTGAAGGACCTCTGCGAATATGCAAAGAAATAATAATTTGAGAAAAAAAGAAAAAAAATTAGGAATTATTATTAGGTTTTAATGCATTGTGTTTTCATAAAAAAAAGGGGGGAGCACTGGGGGTAAAAAAGTAGGGGAGTTTATTTTGATTTTACTTATACTTTTGTGTGAAAAAGTGTGTTCTATTTTCTCTGTAATATTTACTGATTGTGTTTTTATCTTAGTGTAAAACAGATTTGGAAACCAAAAAAAAAAAAAATTTGAGGGATGAGGGAATTTTTCAGATAAATTTGAATTTGAGTAAAATGTTATATAAATCACGATTCAGCATACTTGCATAAATATTTTGACAATTTTGAACAGATCGGCAGTGGCTAGGTATCACTGTAGGCTCTGAACTTTTTTTCTGATCCCTTACCCTGCCCCCTCTCCCCCCCCCCCCCCCTCTTTCTTTTTCGTCGTCTCACTCAGGTGAGAGCTGTATACAGGATATTTATCCAGACATGTTTTTCAAGTTTTTTTAAGAATTTGGTGCATTTGCCTGTGGTGAGGTCACAACACAGGACCCAGAGAGATTATGACATTTTTTCTCACACCCCCTGTCCCCCCACCATTTCAATGTCCCAGCCAGGAAGGAAAACCGCTCTAGTGGGTGCTATCTGTTGGGTTCCCAGTTTTTTTCCTCCCCCTCTCCTCTTTTTCCAAGATAAACTCCCATGTTGTGCTCCCCGCTTCTTCATTTTCTGTATATTCAACATATCAACCACTTTGTATTTGCTTTCTGGGAACACCATATAGTCACAAATATTTTTGATAATAACAACCCCCCCCCCCCCAAAAAAAATAATAAATTTGTGTTATATTCATTCATTCCTTCCTGAGGCTTTAAGGACTCATTGGCCCCTGTTTATCATTCCAGTGGTACCCTGTTCAGGTACCCAAACTCTTGGGACGCCCTAACGCAGGGGTGTGCAACCTGTGGCCCATAAAGAAAAATTGTGTGGTCCGCGGATTAGTGACAATTTCGAAAGGTGTACGGCCTGTAAAACGAGTTTTTATTAGTTCCATCTGGTTTGTGCCAGTAATTCCAATCTCTTTGCATTGCAAAGCATATACCTCAGTCCAATTTATTATATATGCTTATGACGTTACAATGCCCTAACGACTTGTGTGAAGCAAACTACACATGCCATAAGATCAATAACCAATATTGTTTTGCCTGCAAATAATAAAAGCTTATGTTAAAAAGGTGCGTCCCGCGATTTCGCTAAGTTATTTGTATCTGACCCTCTTGTATTAAAGGTTGCCCACCCCTGGATTAAACTATTCAATCTCAAAAAGCTCTCCCGCTTATGGTCACTAAAGCATGACTGGACAGAATAATCACATCCTGACAAGCAGAGTAGAATTCTGTAATTTAAAAGCATTGAGATATAAACTTTTAAACTGCTGAATTCAGACCCGCCGTTCTCTCTATATACTTAAACTTTTAGCTGTTTTTTGTGTGTTTTAAAATTTTTGAAAGTAAATTGGACAAATATGAACATTATTTTGCAGGACTGTGTTTTTTCTATGACCTAGAAGGGGTGAAGACATTTTTAACAATAAAGAATGATAAAAAAAAATTGTAATGCCCTGGTACTCGGAGTGTCGGGCTTGACAATGTTGACATTGCAAGTTTGAAATATTGAGTTTGAAGATCAGATCAGGGTCAGACCCCTCTTCTAAAATGTAAATAAAGCAAATTTTTTCATATCACACATAAAAAAATTTCATAGCTTAGAACGCTTTTTAGACCCTGAGCCGGTTCTGCTAGCAGGGGTCACCAACCTTTTGGAAGCCGAGAGCTACTTCTTGGGTACAGATGAAGCTGCAGGCTACCAGTTCAATGTACACTTTTAAAAAACCCAGTTGCTCGATTAAGCTTCAATTATTGATATAATTACCGGTATTTAGTGAAGTATAGACACTAATAAACTTTAGGATTCTTCAGGAAATCAAACGCATATCACAACGTTGCAAATAAATTTCTATCAATAACACTTGTATTTCAAAACTGAGTGTTTTTAAATTGATTTTCAACAATCTGCACAAGTCTAAGATAAAATGGACTTAACAGTTGTACTATCAACTGTTGCAGAGTATTATACTCCGACGTGTAACTTGACACTGTAACTCTGAGCGAGTCTTGCAGATTTTCATCAGTGAGGCGTGTTCCATGTTTGTTCCTGGTGGAGTGAGTCGCGGCGCTACGGCCCATCGTGTTAGGCGTTAGGTTCGCAGGTTAGAATCCCATGCGGGGATAGTTATGTACGAAAAAATTGCTGGACTCCTCGCCGCCGTAGGGTGGTTCTCGTAACCGCTGGTCGGTTGAGGCTTCCTTCGCCATCAAGTTCATGCTTCCGGAAACAAATAACTAACTAATCCCATACCCGACATCGAATGGTGACCGGCGAGAAGCCGTGGTTTGTCATATGGTTAAGCCGTCCTATCGGCTATCTTCTCCCCCGGGATAAATATGCAAATCTCCTCCTATCCTGAGTTTATGTCAAAAATGTTGATTCGAAAGGATAGGTTGAAACAAAACAAATAAACAAAATAATCGTAAAATAGGATTACTCTATGATTTGACTCGCGAGCTTTTTCTGTCCATACTGTGCTGACCAGTGGGTAGTTAGCGCGGAAGATTACGTGACAAGAGGTGGAATATTTCTCTGCTTTGCCTTCGCTAAAATCGCTCCACTAATGAGACACACGCAGGCTGTTTTCATGGTGGTAAAAATATATCCACCTCCCATTCATCGTGGAAATGATGGATTTTTCTTTGGAATCAATAATTGTATACTGCTCCGCTAACCAACGGACAAGAATAAACGCGGGTTCGTGGAAAGTGATCTCAGCGTGATGTCATAATTGGAAGAGTGTTAATTGACCCGTCACCAGGTATGGCCATTTCCGAATACTAAACTATTCCGAATACATTCTAAAATCGAAAATAACACATTTTTGTTTTAGTTTAATAAAACCCAGTAAAATAGGAAATAAGCTTCAATAGAAATATTAGAATAAAGCCACAAACCAACAGTATATGTACACAAAGTAATTGATAGTTTATAGCTATCAATAAAAAATAATAGCAACTTGTGACACAGTCAGTTTATTAAAATTATTCACTTTGTACAAATGACCATATGAAAAGATAGCCAAGGAGTTCTAAGTCTATTGACAAAAATACTACTTGTATTCAGATAATTGTGTATATTTTCTGAGAGTAATAAATTTAGTGGCAATACAGCCAACAACAATCGAAAATCCATTATGCCTTTAAAAATTCTAATATTTAAGCCTGAGGTATTCTACTACCTACCAGTATATTTGTATATTAATTTATGTGAACCATATTGTTGTGTTTGAAATTAGAAATAAATTAGTAGAGTATGGATGACCACCGCTGCCAGCGCGCAGCCAGGATTTTCGAAATCGGAAATTCCCATTGCCGCCTGAAACACCCACCGCGATTTCGCGCTCGTTAATTAAAATAGCCGTCTTTTCAGCGTATAATGATCATTCTGTTACGTAAAAATTCAATCCATGACAACTACGAGATTCTAAAATATCTTTATATAATAATTTAATGTGTCCAACGTAACTCGCGGTTGCTTCTTCTTAGGTCAAAAAAAACATTACTATTCGGTCCACGGCGATCTGTGACCTAAAATTAAGAGATAAACTGCCTGATGTATTTAATTTTAATACATATTTTTGCAATCTTGCCAACTCGTTATCGCCGTTGGAAAAATCTCAAATAATTATATAAAATCCTGTTAAGTGTAGAGTATAATTCATTTCATACAATGAATATACATATAAAGTTTAGCAGTGAATTAAAAATACATATTCTTCGCCGCGATTATGCCACCTGTTAAAAGAGTCGACTTTTACAGCAAATAATATAACAACGAATATATATTTTTCTGTTGTGCAAAGTGATGAATTCATGACCGACACGGGCATATTTAAAATGTCTTGCTTTATTAATTTAATTGTCTTCAATTTAACCTGCGGTTGCGTCGACAAAAGAAAATCCTCACCACTCTTATATACCATTGCAATCCGCGGTCATAAAAATAAAAACGTGAGGTAAACTGTTCGATTAAATATTGTTTTGATCCGTATTTTGCGAATTCGGCAAATATTTAGATGTACTTGTTAACAGTGACTCCGCTCGATCGAAATACTACCACTCTGATTATTTTTAGATAAAACCGTTCAAAAAATTCATAAATATGCTGTAATATCTCAGAGTAAAATTTATTTCATCACAATAAAATTGATTGAATATACTTTAGATTAATTATATTATATACAACCTCACAACCCGGGAAAAAGTCGCGTTTCAAACCTTGTATCGTGTTAACACGAAAATATCGACGGCAATTTAAAGTAATGGATAATCAGGCAAATCCCGCCCTCAATTAGTGACGATATGTTTCTAAACGCCGACCAAACAATGTGTGCCAGAGGCACACGAAATTTTGCGATTTTCACTACCTAGAAGAGCGTTTTTTTAATTTTCGCGGGCCTCGATAAAACTTATATTGTTTACGATTTTATTTTCAGTATTTTAAATTGCCGCTTTTCAATCAAAAAGTTGCGTTGTCTTTAGAAACTCGCCGCCAATGAACGTATTTACCAGATTCACAATTCCGTGCGCGTACAAAAATAAAAAAAATGTTATCGTTATCGTGGAACAAATTTGTGGAAAATTTTCGTTTTAGAGAAAATAACACAATCGTAAAGGCGTTTACGGGCCTAAATAACACGTTACGCTGATGAGTGATGAAAACAATCACGCGCAAGTTTCTATCGAGAATGTTTTCATTTAACGGGAACGTCTTGAAAGCGGCGTCGAAAATGTGTGACGTCACACAAATATCCGATATTCTTATGAACGTGAATTCCGATATTCGAATGACGAGATATTCGAATACTTTATTCGAATTGGCCATCCCTGTCCGTCACATTACTGAGGTCAAATAAAAATAAGGTTGATGGTTACAATAATTATTATAGTGTCATTTCTAGTTCCCATATAAGTGTTATTTATACTAAAATAGCAGGACAAAATTTAATTGATGTACCTTACTTATAAGAGCCGTTATTAAGCTCAGTTTGGAACAGACCTGCGGGCGACTCGTATGGTCTTCGCGGGCAACGCGTTGGTGACCCCTGTGCTAGCTGTTATGGTCTAACTTGGCAATTACAAAGTTCAGAATCCCCCTTCGAAAATTCATGGCTACACTCCTGTCTCTGATCACCAATGCCTAGCATGTCTTCTTATAGCAATGGTAACTTTTTGTTTATCAGAAGAGCTTTCGAATCCGTCCTGATATATGACTCTTTTCTTCCAAGAGAGTTATTTGATGAAACACGTTTCTTACTGTATGTGAAATCTCAGCTACTTATTTGACACGTTAGTGGACATAACGATCGTTTTGATATTATGTTGTTGTTCTTGTTAATCGTCATCATTAAAAAATCGCTTTTCTCTTCGAATATTCGAGTTTCTGATATTCCACATGCATGATCTTTTATTTATATTTGAGTGGTGTGTTTCTTTGTGAGGGTTGTAGAAGGTATAATTTAACTTAGGCGACCAGTCAAGACATATTGGATTCTCCCCTTTATTTTAATTTGCTGTGGTGTTCCATGATTTGTCTTGTGTGTAAAATTTTATCCTAGGTTAAGGTTCTGCTGTGAAGTTAACGTGAATGCCAACATACAAATGGCTTGTGTGGTTTGAGAGTTCTTGCATGGTTTGCGAAGATTATTTACCCTGTGTGCTGTGTCCCAACCAGAATTCAACTCAGGTCTTTCAACTTGCGTTTTAAAGATAAATGACTAATGATCAATATTTACTCAAAATAATCATTTCTTCTCAACAAAAGTGTAGGGTAGTGACTAGTGAGTGTTATTTCCTAATACGTAACCCTTGAATATTCTACTCGCAGATTTATCTTTTTTTTCGGGTCGTTTCGTGATGATCAATTCAATGGCTAGCTTATTGAATATAAATGGTGTCTACATCAACAAAATTTGCAGGCTGATTGCTCATCTATGATAAATTTGAATTGACATCATGTGCATCACAATATTGAAGAAATGATCCTGTGAAATAATTCTAATTCCTTTATCCTTGCAGAAGTCAATATCTGAGAAAGAACCACCTTGGTAACCAACATATTCCTATTCCCCATCGTCCTACCTCAATTAAATATAAATATTTATACTGTTACTTGTACCTTTAAATACTATTACAATATGGATTGTAATTTGGCAATAATAGGCTCTAGTTTGGGGAATGAAGTGGTCTAGCCCAGTGGTTCCCAAACTTTTTTGACCATCGCCCCCCTAAAGTAGTTTATACAACTTCATCGCCCCCCTGCACTACCAAAAAAATATAAAGTCAGAAACGAATATATTACATACCAAATAAGAAGACAAATCATAGTTTATAGTGTTTTTTAATGAGATAGATGAGCTTGGTGTTCTTCAGCGAGTTTTTTATTATATCTAAAATTACCCCGTTTACTGATGGAAAGGTGATTTCGTTGTTTTAATAGCAATAGTA